TATTGTGATGATGATGATGAAAGGAGTGGTAATGATTATTGTGATGATGATGATGAAAGGAGTGGTAATGATTATTGTGATGATGATGATGAAAGTAGTTGTGACTGATGATGGTGCTGTTGAATAATATGACAGCGAGTATGATTATGATTGTGGCTTAAAGGCTGACGACGAACACAACATATATTGTTGTTATCATATATATCACACGGCGGCCATGTTGGATAATAAAACAAAAGAGACTAATGACGAAACTTTTGTTAAATTCCGCCAACATGGCGACTACATGTAAACAAACAATAGACCCCTTGCAGCACGTCGGAATGCAGCTCAACTTGGTGGGCATAACAATAGCCCATACATAAGTGGGCTTTAGATTTGCACTTACTAGAGAAAGAAAAAGAAATGTAGCGTAAAAGATCTGCGTCATGTTGTTATTCTAAAATAACGACATAACCTTAACGATTGTTCCTGTTGTTATCTAGGTAAACCTGTAAACTGTACAAAGTGCACAGAACCATGTTACTTCAATTGGTACAAACTGATCCAAGTCGAAAAAAATAGGGTGTCTATCCTGGCAAAGAATGCGACTGAGATGTTGAAGGATTTTGGCGGCTTGTCAGTCGACCACATCAACTCTACAATACAAGATTTGAACAAAAATCTAACATATGCTGAGGGTGTATTCAACGAAGGCGCACAGTACAATACCAGGGAAAAACAGAACCAGATCGAAAGGGTACGGTTAATCAAGTTATAGCACGGAGGGTGTTCGCTTCTAGTTTAATAGACCCCTTGCAGCATTCAGAATGCAGCCCAATTTGGAGGGCAAAATAATAGTTTTATAATTCTCAGGAGAACGAAATCATTTTGTTTTGTCCTCAAAATTAACCTGCTTTGACGTCACATGCAAGGTTCCTCTTTCCTTTGGGCTTAATGTTTTTCTATTTCAGACAACATGTCATTCTCTTGAGAATAATATTCTTTGTTTGAGTCGTATCCATATTCATTTGTCTTCTCATGTGAAACTGTTAAACAAGGAAATGATACTCTAGGGAATGACACGTGGTCTAAAACGGGAAAACATCACGCCCAAGGTGAAAAGGCATGTGTGTCGGACTCATAAAATTTGAGACAATTAATTTTTACTAATAATCATAAATATAAATTTTTTTTCTGGTAGATTCGAGACACCATTGACGATTTGCAGCGCAGACTCAACGAAACCGAACAAATCTTGAATGAAGCTGAAGGATACTTGAAAAACAATGTCAGTAAGTTTAATGGAACAGTGCAGGTTGTCCCTGCTCTGCCAGATCATTCCTCTCCTGTCGTGGAGTATGATCCGTCAGGATCCAAAGTCTATGCTGATTGGGTAACTCTGACTGCCATGGCAACGGCTTACCGCAACCAAGCGTTACAGTTGAATGAATCTGGACATGCTTCGTATAGGAATATTACAAGTAGTTATGAAACGGTAAGGAAACGTTATATTTGCCATCCTTTCTTCATTCATTCCTTTCTTTCTTCCTTTCTTCCTTCCTCCCTTTCCTCATCCCTCCGTCCTTTTCACCCTCCTACAATACTTCCTTACCTATAAGATGATTTGGCGCATGAGTATTGAGCTAAAGAGAGGGAGGTATTCCAGCTTGTTACTATACTTGACCTGACTAAAATTGCTCAGTCATTGTTATTCCCTTTTGTAATGAGTCTAATGAAAATAAGACCATATACATCTACTAACCCTCTCTCCATTTCATGTTACTTTAGATCAAACTCGCCAACGAAACAGCAGCTCTCGCAGCCAGACAGATCTCCGATGCTATGTCCAGACTCAGTCAAGTCTCCACTCGAAGAGCAGAGGTGGAGCGAAGACTAGGACCAACGTTTCAAGAGGAGCTTCGAAACAACAGCCAGTTGCTAGACCAGATAAGAAAACTAAGCGATGAAATCAACGGCTTACTGGTGTCTGCTGTTGATAAGGGCAACGAAGCAAATGCAACCGCCAGTCAAGCTGAGACAAATATTCAGCATGCTAATGCTTTAGCTACTCAACGAAAAGCCGAGGCAGAAAAGGCGCTGGCTGATGCTCAAAATGCGAGCACTCGCGCTGCACAAGTAAAGACAAAAGCGACTACTGCACAGTCTACCACGGCTGAGTTCAAGGTACCAGAAATGAATGCAACGTGAATAAAAGTAACTGAAAAATGGGAAAATTTTGGGTTCAAAGGTCCAGCTGTCTGTGCAGTGTTTTAGGGTGATTTTACAAAGGTCTCTCACAGAACCCAACTTTAACTACGGAGTATTTCGAATACTTTTGCACGAATGAATAACTGAGTATCCTGGGCCAAGCAAAAAGTGCGTTAGTATGATGCCATTTGACGAAATGCAGTATTTGTCTCACAAGCACACATCGTCACGCAAGATAGCATAACGCAGTATTTCGGACTCTTTTACTCATATTAATTGAATCTTTTACAGGCTAACGCTTCGGCTGTCCTAGACCAAGCAAAAAGTGCTTTGGATAACGTCACAAAAGGGATCAACACAGTCGCCGAAATGAGCAACAAGTCACGTGACTCAGAGGCCACCGCTGATAGGGTCATTGCAAAGAGTCTTCCAGTTTCCTTGGAAACAATTCAAAATCTTGCCAATCAAATAAAAGCAATTGAAGTGAATAACAGCCTCATTAATCAGACTTACGATGGCGCAGCTGAGGGATTGAGGCAGGCTAAGCAGGTTGAAGCACTCTCTGAAAAAGCAATGTAAGTCTGTAACTACTGTTGGTATACCTGTGGTTTTATGCACACAAAACAATAGGCTTGATTACGAATCGCAGTTAACCATAAATTCTTTTATTTTTATTTTTTTTAGAAATGTCTCTCAAACCACCCTTAACAAGGTCCAGAGCATTGAGAAAGTCGTCCAAGATTCACAGGCATCGCGCGCCGAGACAGAACGGCTACAACAAGAAACAGACGACAGAGTGCGGAAGATTAAAAACATCACGCAATCGGTATGTCAATGAATTTTAATTCATGTAATTAATGAAGTGGAATGCGGTGGACAGAAGAGAAGAGAGGAGAGGACGGGAGTTGAGAGGTGGAGAAGACATGACAAAAGAAGACGAGAAAGAAGAGGACAAGCGATGAGATGAAAATGGAGAGGAGGACACGAGTGAAAAACGTCTGCGCATGCTCTGAATTCGTATGCAAATTAGTCAAAACATATGTAAATTTGACTTTCAAACATGCCTGATAAATTGGACTTCACAAAGTGCCAAAACTTAGTGTCCATGCTTAAAACTTAAAGCTAATTCTTTCATATTGTGTTTGTTAAAACTGTTTCTTGGTCTGACAAAAGTATACTCTCGAACGTTTTAGTATACTTGGAGAAAACAAACATTTATTTTCTCACTCAATCTCTTTAAGATTCTTAGAAAACGTGCTAAAATGCACGCATGCGCAAACGTTTTTCTCTAATGTCGGAGAGGAGAGGAGGATAAAAGAGAGCCAGGAGAGGAGAAGAACTTCTAATTCGAATGATTTATCCTATATCCATTTTTGTGTGTATGTTTAGGTGCAGTCCAAATTCACCGAAGCAGCGAAGATCGGAGAGGTAACCTTACGTATGATCAACAACACTCTGTCAACGGTTGACGATGGCCTCAAATGTTATAATGATTCCAAACGTATCGCGAAAGAAGCAGTTGTGACTGCCGAAAGAACCTTCAATCTGTCGAAGGTGGCACAGACGGTAGGGCTCTCTGATAATCTTTGTCATCTTTAAATTTTTAATTAGCAGGATTTCTATTATTGTCAAGAAAGTCAGTACTATTTAGACGGTCAACGAAAACCACAACTTTGCAAGTCTATTAGAACAATTGATTTTAAAAAAAAACAACCACAACAAACAAAAACGTTTAAAAGCAAAAAAATTAAATTTAAATTTAAAAAGAAATTAAATTTAAAAAATAATAAAATAAAAATAATAATAAATTAAAAACAAAACAAAGAAACCACCCAAACTCACACTCTCCTAATATCAACTAAGAATGGAGAAAATATATCTTTGAACTAATGGCGCCGCAGCCATCAGCCATGTTATTCCCAGGAGAAGAAATCCGTTTGTCTACGTAAATCCATTAAAAATAAATAATAAATAAATAAATAAATTTTATTTATTTATGTCATTCCCAGGAGAAGAAATTCGTTTGTCTACGTAAATCCATTAAACACATCCTGAAGCGCTTGAATGCGAGGATACGCGACGGAGAAGCTATTATTCCTGCCAACTCTTATCTGCCCCATAAGACAGACACATTCTTAAGGATTTACACACTTATTATTTAACCATTTGTTATCAACGTTATAGGTCAATGAAACTGTTAATGGCGACATTGAAAGTGCCAGGTCACAGGTTGATCGTCTATATAGCGTAGCAAAGGCCAACTATACTGAGATAGTCAAAGCTAATAATGATTCTCTTCAACTTTTACAAGACGTCCAGGAAGCTGAAGGTATGCCCATACTTTGCTATCTTTATCCAGCAGGTTTTTATATGTTTGCAAATTTTGCATTTATTGGCTAATTGATATTTATTATCTTCATTTTAAAATTTTGTTCTTTCTACTTTTTAACATTTTWATTTTTTTTAAATATTTTTTTTATTTTTTACCTTTTACTTGGCCCTCGCTAATTTTTTATCTTCCTTGGCTTCGAAAATTCCGGTTTCCGAAATAAGATTTCAGTTTGTCAACATTACGAAATGTTATGATTTTTTGAAAATAAATATAATACATATTTTTATAATATTGTCGACCGATGAAAACACCAAAACGTCTAATTATTGTTTTTGTTTATTAAGATTGATATCTTAACGAGTGGCGATAACATGTTATYTTCACAAGTAAACTGTCCAGATGTCGCTTGACTTGTCCATCTCACTAAAATCACTAAGAATTCTCGAGTCAAGTGTTTCTTTAATATTTTTTAATTGAAAATATTAATACACAGTCTTATGAGAATATGGTTTTTCTCTGAAACGTTTTTGAGGCTGTGGGACCTTTCAGTACTGGTCCTAATTGCGTCAGTAATCAGGGCACTTATACTAAATATTCACAAGCCCTTTTTCCAAACATTGTTTCAGTTTTATTAAACGACTACGTAGAACAAAGGAAAGAGATGGAACGATTAAAAGCCGAGACAGAAGGACTGGAAACAGAACTGGACAGCCTTATTCGACAGTTCGATGAAGAGACGCAAAAATACAGCAAGTGCGATGGTGGTTCGTGACGCGTCACATTCATTGCGTGACAACTTTTATTATGACAATCGATCACGTGTTTTTAAAGTAGTTTCTAGGTATCTCCTATGATCAAGGCTTATTCACACGTTACCTTATTGAATGGAGCACAAATGGAACACTCCGTGACGTGACATTGATTTTGTGACACTTCGAGGAAACGAAGTTGCGGACCAAGAAAGAATGAACCTAAAATTCTAAGAGTACAAAACATGGTCAAGAAAACCTTCAGCTATTGAGGACCTGCAAGATTGTACTGGATACCTCCGTAGCTCTTACTGAAGCTGGAAAATCGTACTGCGCATGCTCGAAAAAATGGCGGGAAAATAAACGCGTGTCCAAATCTTAAGACACACGTGAATTTGTAAAAAAATCGCAAAAATGCAAAAAGTATTTTCACCATCCATGTCACAAAGACGGCCTTTCTGTATGAAAGGCTAAAGAGTGCTATTGTCTCAACTATTTACGGGGTGAACTTTTATACATACGAAAATAAGTGAAAATTCTCACGCAAGCACGAGCTTTTTTGATAGCAATTTTGTAGGAGTAAATGAAATATTACTATAAGCAAATTATAATAGATAGTCAAAGTAGATATAGTAACAAAATAGTTTTTTGCTAAACTAATTCAACTATTGCAAGAAAAACMTTTTTTCAGCGCTCACTCAATATTTTAAGCTTTTTTAAAAGTTAATTTACGATTTGATTTTGTAAATTTTTTCTTTGTACTATTTCATTTTGGTAAATAATCCAATCAGAAAAAGTATACATGTTTGGGGCCCATATGTCCTTCAGACCGTGCGTCATTCTCAAAAGAATAGAATTCTTTGTTTGAGTTCTATCCATATTCTTAAGTCTTCTGATTAGCAACCATTAAATGAAGAAATGACACTCTAGGGAATGACACGTGGTGAACCCTTTCTTTTGGCATTCCGCCGATTCCAGGCCACATGCAATTCCCTTGAGTATTATGTCTGATTACTGTCCTTATAAACGTAGAGACTAGTTGTTAGTCCATACAGTGACTTCCAAGGGCTTTTTACGTAAAGACAAGGCAACCCTATACTGCTAGGCAAACTCTCATGAGGAAATAAACAAACTTGCCTTTTCGCTCTATAAGTGTTAGTTTTTAAATTGAGTAGCATTTACTTGAGTTGTCGGTCTGTTTTCAAGAACGTTTGGTACGCTTTCCGTCATATTTTAAAAAATGGCGTCCCTTAAAAAACAGCCCCATGATGCATCGCGCGTCACTCATAGGTTTTCCGCGCAACCTCGAAAAGGTCGTTATACAGGTTCAAAGTCGAACAATAATACTCTGGAACAAGCTAGCTATACTGATAGGTATGTTCTGATAGTGTGAACAAATGTAATAATATAGAAGAATATGATATATTTATTGATATTGTTACCTAACGCTAAGATGTAATAAAGTGCTGGCCATTTAATCAGCTTTTTCATACACTAAATATTAGGGGGAAAAAATGAAACAAAATGAAATAAAGATTACTCGAATATAATGATTGGGTCTCTACTTTGATTCGAGGGTTGTCCCCGGCTTTTTTCCCTCATAAAATCATAAAGATCAACTGATCCCAACTCGAAAGAGGCACTATCTTTTGTTAAGTCCCTCCGTACTAATGGTTGTTACTCTAACATGTTTGTGTGACCCCCAACCCCCTCCCCACCC